CAAACATGCTACAGGATCTAAGGGTTAGATCTGGTGCACTCCATCCAGCCTTTTCACACCCTTTTTAACAGGGGAAAGAACTACTAGGTGTAGAGTGGAGGATATTTTAATGTTTTTTCTTCCTTCACAGTAGTTCTACAGCAGGAATTCAGGTTTGTTTGGCTCAATACATTCTATCCTTAAACAGCCTCCTTCCTCTGAATTCTGATCATTCATATTTGCTTTCAGTTTTGGCAAATGTGCTTAGTTGCTGCAGTAAGTACTTGCACAGCCTCTGTGTGACCAGGCCCTTCCCCTGCCCCTTCTTTTCATTAAATAGTTCATGGTACTGAATTGTTTGTCTCTGGCTGTGGTCTGCAGTGACATTTAAAGTACTGTCTGAAAGCTGTTGCTCTTGCTCCTGGTAAATAGTGCAGCAGCCTACTGCAGAGGTAACCCCAATGAAGAGGTGTTGCCAGGAAAGAGACCCTAAAAGAACCTGGAGGGAGGGCAGAGAATTTGTGTTTAGGATGGAACTGTGCTCCTCAGCACACAGTCCTGGCTTGTTGGAAATGCAGTGCAGTATGAGCTGCCCATGTTTTACTATAATGTTTGGAGGGAAGGAGGAACTTGGAACCTTGATTCCTCTTTAAATAAAAGGATTAATTTGATTCTAGACTACTTCTCTGATTAAATAGTTCTGTGCTCTTGTAACAAGAGAGATCTCTAGACACAGTATTTAATTTAGTTGGTTTCCTGAACTTGGTTATGAAACGGCAAAGGTCACTTATGCAATCAGAAATGTTTACAAAACAAACTGCTTGTTTACTATATAGACATATATATATATAGATGAATGTTGTGAAGGTACTATCAGGAAAAGGTTAATCCAATTGCAGAGATTTAAAAGCCTTTCTCCAAAATCCAATGTTATGTATTTATATCCTTGATCGAATAATGTATATGTGCCCTTTAGTTCAGAGATGTATGTTCTGTGCAATACAGATTACGCAATGTGCCTACAGAAAACTACAAATGGATATTTATTCTGGATGTATTTTGTCTGAACCAGTATTTTGTTACAGAATGAAATCATGTTGTAGGCAAATAATATGCTAGGTAATCCTTTGAGTATTTCAGATTACTTGATTTCCTTCTGAAACCACATTTTAAGTGTTTCTACTAAAATACACTACTCACCCAGAATTGCCTTCTCTGAATTTCTGTCTTGGAAAGCCTGTTTAATACAGGCTGAAATGTGTTGTGCTGCACCAGTGGCATTGAGCAGTCATGTACTGTAGTCTAAGAATTAGGTGATCTTCTAAATTATGTAATTTCTAAAAGGCAAAAAGGCACTGTTATCTGTGGGACTTGAGCCACACTGACAATCAGTGTTCAGTCAGTTTTCCTTGAATGCCAGAGTACTACTAATTGTCTTTGAAAAATTAAAAACAACTTCCCATCCTCACTGAGGTATTTGAGGATATACATTTGTGACATTTTACAAAACCAACTGGCATTCTACTCTTTCTTTAATAATTTTTTTTTTACTGCTACATTTGGAGATTACAGTACTGTTGGCAAAGTTTTACACAGGTAGCCCTGTGTTGTTGCATAGGTATGAGCACTGATAATTACTGAAACCTCTGCCCTGAAGACTGAACTGAAGAGTATTGAAGTGAAGCATTTTGTGCTTTCACAGCTATCTTTTCATGTTTCAGTATTACCTGAGTGAGTACGCTCTAAATTCCTTTAAGTGTAATAATAATTATAATAAAACACACCTTTATAATGCTGATTGAGAGAGACATAGTCCCTGCCTTCAGTATTCACCTGTACTGCAAAAGTCTGCCTAGCACAGCTCCAGCACACTTGCCTGAGAGCTCTGCTCTCCTGCGCAGTGGTGCAGAAATAGTTGGATACACACATCAGATCATCCAAAGGAGAGACTATGCCAAGGATGTGTTTACAGCAAGACTATTTAAAAAATTCTGTATCAGTGAAGCAGTGTGGCTATTGGCAGTTGCATTTAAATCAGACTTTTACTTTTAAATATTATACCTTGTCTCTGGTTGTGTGCAATCCACCCCTTTGTTGATAAAAGACCTTAGAGTTGAGTCCAGCTGGTTATCCCAGCCAGTCAAATAAAATCACCCTTATTTTGGTGAAAAAGGTTGGCTGTGGAACTAAGGAAAACCAAGGTGGAAAACAAAGTCCCTGGCTGAACTCATGCTTCCCAGGCAAGAGCTGAGAGTCTAAATGTTGCTGAGAGCCAGACAAGGTTAAAAAGTAAAACTGAAGCCAACATGGAAAGCAAAATATGCTGTTTGCTGTTGCCTGCAGTGTGGTACTTGCTAAATGTTGTGTCCTGTGGGCCAGCAGAGAATAGGGGCCCTGGTGTCATTGGGGGTGAGAACCAAACAGTGCTGTAAATGCACAAGAACAGGTACCAAAATGCTATTTCTGTAACTCTCTGGTGTGCATCATGGACTAACAAACTCCAGAAGCCCGGTTTGACACAAGCTTAGTTCCTGATCCAGGGCTGGATCCACGCAGGAAGGTTCTGTGCCACCACTGGGACCAGAGGCAGGACTGGGTGTGTGAGGAGCCTGTGGTGGTGAGGGCTGGGAGCACCCAAAGCGCTGTCTACACGTGGTTAATGGTGCAGTCAGGAGCAGAAGGCACAAAGCGCCATCAGAGAGTTACACACTAATAACTGAAACATCTCCCTCTGGTCACTGAACATTTCTGCCATCTCCGAGCTTTGTCAGATTGTATTCCTGTGAGATTCTCGTGGGCAGGGATGGAAACACCTGTAAATAAGTCTGCTGGTAGGCATGCCCACACTCCTTGGCCTGCAGCGAGAGCTGCTGCAGGGTCGTGCTGCTTCAGTGTAATGAACCCATAAAACTGCTGTGTTCTGGTGTGTGCTGCCTTAAAGCCCCTCCTTGTCCTTCCCAAGCCGAGTGTCACGTGTGGGATGGTTGTTGAGACATGCGAATGCAGGCTGTGCTTAGCATGAGGCAATTGTTCACCTTCGGATCTGAACAAAGTTGTAAAATAACTATGCAAACGTATTTTATTAAAGGGACACATAAAAGGATCTAGTCTCTGTGTTGTGGTTTTCTGTCCATCTGGGGGGATTATTTTCATAGCTGAATAGCTTGGAATGAGCATTGTGTCACCTGTGATGGAGTGACTTGATTTTGCTTTACCTCTTGAAAATTGATGAATAAATTTCCTCTGTTGTAGCACAGTATCCTGTGTTTACTGATTAGAGGAGATTGGATAAAAGTTTTTATTGTTTTTCCCAGGGCCTGATGGAAACTGCCATTTTCACAGTAGCAAATTTCTTGTATTAATTCCTTTTGTGGGTTTCAGAGGCTGCTGGTGGCTCCAGGAGTGACAGGAGTGTGTTGGCCTTGTGTGTGGCTGCAGAGCTTGCACCTGGCTGTGGTGGTGTCCCCTGATGCCATCAGCTGCTCTGGCTGTACTGAAGGGACTGTGCTCGTGCCAGCCCATGGTCCTTAAGGGGACTTGTGGCCTTCCAATGGCAAGCTGGGAAAATGGAGACAGGAAAAAGACCCCCAACCTTTACCTGTTTTTCCCAGCCATATCAGCTGGCTTCAGAGTCAAACAATCAGAACAAATAAACAACCCCTTCCAAAAAAACCCTTACCCTAAACAAACCTAGGTTGGAAAAGATCTTTAAGACCATCAAGTCCAATCATTAATGCATCACAAATAAACTAAATCCTGAAGTGCCATATCAATGGTTTTTAGTACTTCCAGGGATGGTGGCTCCACTACTTCCCTTGGCAACAAGCTTTACAACCCTTTCCATGAAGAAAGTTTTCTTAATATCAAATCTAAACCTCTTCTCTATCCCTAAATAGTCTTCATTGGTCACTCAAAGCAGTTCATGCCTCTGGTGTTGCTACATCCTTCCAGAGGAGTGCCTGAGCTCCTGTTGGAGGGGTGAGATGTCTTTTCAGAGCTGTCATTTTTAATGGCTTTTTTTCCCCTGCTCATTGAGTGGGTAAGTCTGTTGGGAAAATAGTGATATATGTTATTCATCTGTCTTTCATGGGAGGATTTCTTCAGAAACTGTCTCTCTTCCCTTGAATGGGCTCATATCCAAAAAGCCAGTTATTGGTAAGGTTTTCTCCTCCAGCCCTCCATGTTTTTCAGGGCTTTGAATCTTGTGCAGAAGAGAGCATCTTTGCACTGTGAAGCGCAGTAGTTTTTCATGCAGGGGTAGTTATATTATCAGGAAAAAGTTCTCCTTGTTCAGGTATATTTGGAAAGTATAATTTTAAATACAACTCCAGAGACTGGGATTTCCTGTTTATAAATGCTCCAGGTTGTTTTGCCCTGGCAGCTGCTTCCTTAGCTCAGAGAGCAAGATTTAGCCCAGAGGACACCACAGTCAGTGTAGGCATCTCTCTGTTGCTGTGCCCTGAGTGTCCGAGGTTCCAGACACCCCCTGCTTGCTCTGGTGAATGTTCTGGAGAGGGAGCTGGGCAGGCTGTGCCCCAGGCTGGCTGAAAGCCTGGCACTGCCTGCTCTTGGTGGGAGAGGCAGGCTGGCTTCCCCTCTAGGGAGCAGGTATCCCTCTTGGTCAGCAGAGCAAGCGAGGAGCTGCAATTATCCTTGCTGCAGACACTCCCAGAAATCCCACTGCTCTTCCTGAGCTGCCTGAGGGGCTTGGGATGAAGCTTCACTAGAGGGAAGCCAAGCCAAGAGCTTTCTGCTGCCAAACAAGGCAGTTTTACTACTTCCATACACATTCCTGGCTGTTAAACCATCAGAAAACTGCTGTTTTATTTTCCCCCCCTTGGGATTTGTTTGCTGCCAGCATGTGAGCAGCGAGTCAGATAAGTGCCAGAATTGATGCAAAGAAAGGAGGGAACAGCAATGTGGGAGGAGAAGGGGTGGGAGATGTAGCTCCACCCTTTCAGCATCAATGAGCCCATGGGTTGCTGTGGCCACTTAGGGAAAACATTGGCAAATGCACTTGCTAGGCTGGTTCATTCTCCTTTTATTTTTTGTTTTTCCCTTCAGACTCAAATGCCTGAATTCACCCTCTAAAGTCAAATGTGGGGATTGCATAATATGTTTTTATGCCGGTATCGTCAGACCTATCAAAATTGGGACAGTTTTCACTAGTAAACACTAGAGTTTAAATAAAATTATATAAAATACTAAATACAAAGTAGCATTTGTCCCTTCATCCCAGAAGCTGACAGTCCAAACACAAGGTTAGTACAGGAACCAGTTAATGTAACTCAATTTTTTGCACCTGATAATGAATTTATAAACCATATCCATTTTAATGCATAAAAAGGACCCATTTCTCTCCCAGGCTTGGCCCCAATTTTCAGTGGTCAGTGTGATACAGACCCAAATCCCAGCATTTGGGTTGTTCCAGCAGCTGGGACAAGCCAACAGGCGCTTCAGTCCATCCCTGCTTCTGTCACAGGAGTGCACTTTGCAGCAGGAAAGGGAGCCACTGGCCAAAGCTGAGACTTCCAAATCTGGGCAATTAATGCCTGGTTTCTGTGCAAGCCCTTGGATTGTCCTGGAATTTCATGTCTTAGTAACCAGGTGGGCCTAAACTCAGTCCTGTACAGACTAAAGAGTTACACAAGAATCCAGAAGTAGCACATTTGCCACAGACGGTCTCAATGGACTAAGACATTAAACTTTGCAGGAATCACTTTTATTTGTAACTTCACTCGTTTTTCTCATCTAATTTTGGCCTGGTTGTAGCTTTGGGGATAACTAAGGCCAGGAGTATTCTGTGTGATCAAAAGAGCTGCAATCTCTCATCTCTTCTTAAAAAGTGGGGTTTTTTTCATACCTGTCAGAAAGCTCAAGATCTGTGATCCTCCTTAGGGTGCAAAAAAGATCTGAAAAGACCTGATTTTCAATGTAGCTGTTGTCTTTGCTGCTGTTTTACTTCTTTGTGTTGTTCAAACGGTTTCCTTGTTATGCTGTCCTAAAATTTCACTTGGCAAGAGTTTCTCTTCTGCTGACAGATGCTCTTTCAGAGCACCTTGATGCTGGTGTAGTTGGAAGCTCAGGAGCCTGTGAGGTTTCCATTGGGCCACTGTCACATCAAGTTCAGCCTAATGTTTAGTGTTTCTTGTTTTTAGTCCCTCAAATTTATTACTAACCTTCCCATGAGCAGATCTATACCTTGGCAGTGAATAGTCACATCCTTGTGTGCCAGGAGTATCAGGGTGACAAGGGAGACACAGCCCTTCCTGCTGTAGGTCGTTCTGCCTTTCACAACTCCTGTGAACCTTCATGAAGTATTGTTCCTCTAGAACTGCTGGATCAAAGTGAGTCCCTGTGATGTCCTTTCTGCTGTCCTGCAAAACCCACAGTTCACCTGGTATTGCAGTCTGATGCCATCACATGCAGCAATAGATGGATGTTCTCAAATGCTCTGTAATTGTTCCTTCTTTTTTCCTTTTCCCCCACCCTGCTGCTTTGCAATATTCTGCTGTGATGGCTGACAAGAGGGATCAGATTGACTTTCTGTGCTCTCCTTTACCCAGCTAAGCACATTCACCACTCTGGTTTTACCAGTTTTTGGTTTGGTTACTAAAGTTTGAACACTGTTGTCTTGTTTACTAACATCCAGTAGAGATAGAGTCGTGTGAAGCTGCAGGATTTGCATGTTCTGAGAGTAACTGAGTTTGTGTTATTGACTGTCAGTGTGTTCCTGTGCATGATTTTGATTCTTCATCCTTGATGCATGAAAATAATTAAATGTATTTCCAGCTCATTTTGAGAAAAATAAAAGTTGTGCAGCTGTGAATTACACAACTACAATGTTGTGTTACAGCTTTGCAAATTTGTAGTGGTGGTCTGTATCATAAATTAATAACTAAGTCAGAGAACTTCAGAAACGGGGTGGGGATTAAAGGTACAATGTCCTAAGTCAGGACCAGCCACATTTTCTATGACTTCATCTCACAAAAAACAACATAGAATCATTAAGGTTGGAAAAGATCTTTAAGATCATCAAGTTCAAAAAGACATTGCTCAAGGTAAGAGAAAATCACAATTTCAAATCAGTGTGGCAGAAGAGATGAGAAAAGTCATGAGACAAATGAAGAGGCAAGAAGTTAAGAACTCTTATTCTGCATCACAGTACAAGGGGTGTTCAAAGAAATAAAAAGGTGATAGACTGAAAAGTGACACAAAGAAGGGAGGGGGTCAATTGCTAAATCACTTGATTTTGAAACCCACTGCTGCTGCAGAGAGGGTTTATCAGTGCCTGTATAGTCTGAGCCATAGACTGCTGAATGCTGATGCAATTTTGTAAATTATCAGATTTAATGCCTTGAGTGGGATCTGAATTCCTGACTTCCTTCCTGCAGGGTGTGCTGATCTCCAGAGCCTTGACACCATGCAGCCCATGGAAAGGAAAAGGCAGGGCTACATCCACGAGCTCATTCAGACGGAAGAAAGGTACATGGACGATCTGCAGCTCGTCGTAGAGGTGAGATGTCTTGGATGTGAAAGTGCATTTGGGAAAACAACACCTTTATACTGAGTAATACAATGAAGGGATTCTTATGAGTTGTGAGATGATGGAGGAAGAAAGGTGTGTGGGCACCTCCCTTTCCAGTGAATGATTTGTGATTGCTTACCAGGCAAAAGCACTACTTTGTGAAACCCATCAGCTTACAAAGACCTTCCTGTTTTCCAAATCTTATTATTAGGTGTTCAGGTTTAGTAAAAAGATGATGGCTGGGGCCAGGTGTCAAGCAGAGCTGCACAGAGCTGTAGAAGCACCATATAAGCTTTTCATGTGCCTTCTCCCCAGTCTTACTTCTGGAAGCAAAACCACCTCTCTCAGCAGGGCAGGGACAGGCCAGCATTAAGTGCTCCTGGGCATCCAACTTGACCTCTCTGTATAGAACAATGGTGTGCTGAAGTGTGGCAGATGTTAAATAGTCAAGTCACAGGGGTGCTCTGCTCCCCAGAGATGAGGTGCTGAGGGCCCCTGAGAGCAGCTGTGGTTCTGCACACAGGGTGACCCTGAGTGCTCTGGGTCAGGGGAGAGGAGCAATGCCCAAGTTTAATTTGTGCAGTGATTGACCCTGAAATCAAAGGAATGCTTCTGCTGAGCTGTCAGCCTGCAGGTCCCAGTGCTTGTCCTCACTTTGCAAGTGCTGATGCTGGTGTCAGATAGGGTCACACGCTCAGGGGAAACAGCTGTCACAAATGCTAGTAAGAAATTGCTTTTAACTGCTGAGAAATTAGACATTGAGCATTCAAAAAAAGTTACTGCTGGGCTAACAAAGAGGCTGAGCTGTTTTTGTTCTCTGAAGAATTGCTCATTTTTTGGCTGCAGGTTTTCCAAAAACCAATGGCTGATTCAAGCTGTCTCACAGAAGGAGAAATGGGGCTGATCTTTGTTAACTGGAAGGAACTCATCATGTCAAATACAAAGTTACTGAAGTGAGTACTTACCTGCAATCTTATGTTTTCCTTTTTATTATTCTGTCATTCTTTCCCCAGGAAGTTTGCCGGGTTTACAGTCAATATTCTGTCATTGCTGATTATTTCCTGTGGATGCTTGCATTCAGAACAGCTAAATGCAGTCAGACTGCTTCCAAAGGAGCTATAACAAGAGAGAGGGAAAAATAAACAAGAACAGACGTACATTTGTTGTAATATCTTAGAAACAGACCCTATACAAAAGTAGGGAGCTTTTCTTCCCATTTTTCTGCAAAGCAACCTTTTATTCTCTAAAAATAATCTTTAGAAAGATACAGTAGCTAGTAATTCACTGAATGGAATGCTAGTTGAATGTAGAGATTGATGCTGATTATCCCAGAAACCTCAAAGGAGAGTCCCAGTCCCCCAGACCCCATCAGGAAGATTGTTCACCTCAGGGTGTTGTGTCAGGGTGACTTCCTGGGGTTTCAGGCAGGACCCTGGCACCTCCTGGAATTGCCTGTGCTGTGTAAGGAAATTCACCTGCCAGGTTTGTGTCCTTTCAGAGGTGGGTCTGTAAGGGTTGTGATTTAGGCCTCACAGACTTGGCAGCAAAGTTGGATGTGGATCTCTTTCCTCGTCCGCAGAGCCTTGCGGGTGCGTAAGAAAACCGGAGGCGAGAAGATGCCGGTGCAGATGATCGGGGACATTCTGGCAGCAGAGCTGTCCCACATGCAGGCCTACATTCGGTTCTGCAGCTGCCAGCTCAACGGGGCGTCCCTGCTGCAGCAGAAAACTGACGAAGATGCTGATTTCAAAGACTACTTAAAGGTATCTTATTCAGTGGCTTTTGTGCCCTCTCCTTTCCTCAATGACAGGAGCCCATCTAACCAGCATCAACCACATCAGAATAACCCAGAAGAGTAAAATCCTGCAAGAATAGCTAAGAAGCTTCCAAGGTGTATTTACATGGTGACCATGTAAATAATGCCGTGTGTGCTCTTTATTTATAAAATAATGTCTTTCTCTCTAGCTAATTTACTTAGGCTATAAAAGGAAAATTGCCAAACAGTTGACATCAGGCATTTGTTTTGTTCATTGCTTTGTTCTTCTTCAGCTGAGTGGAGCCTGTGGAGTCAAAATAAAAGCTGGGACAGTTTTGAATGTAAGGATTCTGCATGAACAATGACCCTGTGATTTATGCTGGCAAAGCATCTGGGTGCAATGACACTGCCAGCTTTCTTGTTTGTTCTAGATACAAGTAGTGTTTGCATACTGAAAAAATCCAAGATCTTTTGGAATGCCTGGAAAAATGAATCTGATCAAAGAATTTTCATTATTCATTGCCAGTGATGCAACTGTTTTCTGATGACTAATGCAATGTCTGCTAAATCTCTGGGTTGCACTACAGAAACTTGCCCTGGACCCTCGCTGCAAAGGAATGCCCCTCTCCAGCTTCCTCCTGAAACCCATGCAGAGAATAACGCGTTACCCCCTGCTCATAAAGAGTGTGAGTACCCCAAGTGAGGATTTGTAGGTGAAGACTTTGAGTTTGATCTCCATAGCAAAAGCCAAGATAAAGGCTTGTCCCTTCATGGGGATTTCTTAGGCTTACCTCTGTTTTTATCTTGCTTTCTCCCCTCTCTGATCCACATCAGATTCTAGAGAACACTCCAGAGAACCACCCAGATCACAGTAACCTCCGGCTCGCCCTGGAGCGTGCGGAGGAGTTGTGCTCCCAGGTGAACGAGGGCGTGCGTGAGAAGGAGAACTCGGACAGGCTGGAATGGATCCAGGCCCACGTCCAGTGTGAAGGCCTTGCTGAGGTATCTGCACTGATGCTCTGCAGGGCTGGGGCTTTCCAGAGTCATTTCAGGAAGACTGGGGAGGGAATGTGAGTCCTTGCTGACATCCCTTATCGGAACATGATCCACTGCTGAGCTCTAGGCAGGGAAGCTTTTATTGAATTTTACTCACAGCCATAATGTGATGAGTTTTTGCATATTTTTCCATGACTGTAGTGCAGAGAAATTTTGATTTATCAGCTTAAAAACCATTTAGACCACTAAACAGACAGAAATAAATCTCTCTGAACTCCTGATCATGCTGCCACTGGGCTAAGTCAGGTGTTACTATGGAGGATTTCACTTAGTGTGTGTTTCCCAGGGTTTTCCTTCAAGCAGGAAGGGAACAGCAGCCCTCATTGCCAGATCCTCAAGGATATGTGGTGTTCAGGTTCCTGTACCTTTCAGGACAGCCTTCAAACGGAGGTGTGTGTACAGTTCTCCACTGCATAAAGAACCAGAACTTGACAGATCCAGAAGGTCTGTCCTGGGAATCACCTGTAAGAGGTGACCTGACTGCAGCCTATGCAGCCTCTTCTTAAACACAGGTTCTGGACAACACAGGAGTGGCAATGCAGTAAATTCCTCCATCTGGTCATCCCTCTGTGTGTTTTTGGTAAAGCTTAAATCTCCTCTGAGGTGGGAGTTGTGCTTGTGGCCATGGCTGATCATAGAACAGTTCCCTTATCTTAATTTAGAATGGAATTCATTAAACAGAAGAGAAGAGCATTTTCAGCAGCTTGGTCAATCTCCACAGTGAAGAGGAGCAGGAGCTGATGTCTGCAAAGACCTGCTGCTGCTAATGGGTTTTGTCTCTTCCCAGCAACCCGTGTTCAACTCCCTCACAAACTGCTTGGGACCACGGAAGCTCCTGCACAGTGGGAAGCTGTACAAGGCCAAAAGCAGTAAGGAGCTGTATGGATTCCTTTTCAATGACTTCCTGCTGCTCACCTACATGGTTAAACAGTTTGTGTCTTCCGGATCTGATAAACTGTTCAGCCCTAAATCCAACTCCCAATTCAAAATGTACAAAATGGTGAGTGAGTCAAGGTGTTCCAAGTGTTGGTACAGTGGGTCCTGGCTTCTGATGAGGAATGCTGCTCTCCCACTGGGATTAGCAGTGTGGCCCCTTTTGCTGTCACATGGGCACGTTCTGGCAAACAACTTGCACAAATGACATTGGCTTAGTACCCAGAAAAGGACAGACTTCTGCATCTTGGTTCAACTAACACTTCCATCCACTTTGCATGGAAGGGGCAGAAGTAGCATCATGCCTGAACAGCTGAGTGGGATGTTCAGAAGCAGGAGCCTTGACTTCAGTTTGCACAGGTTCCTGCATCCACAAGAAAATTCCTGTCCTTCAGAAAACAGTAGAAGCTGCAAAATTTTAGTCTCTGTGCCCACACAGTGTGTGTTCTCAAGATTCTGAAACTGGAGACATGAGCTTAAGTATCAGGGCTGCTTTCCCACAGAGAACCTGAGAGATTCCTGGATTTCTGAGCTCCACGCTGCAGCTCTGCTTGCACACTCCTTCCCCTTTCACAAAGCCCTTTGCCTAGGAAAGCAAAATGGGATGAATTGCCAGAGAAGTTTTTCTCTCAGCCCTTTCTTGCATCCTTTACATGTTGATCTCATTGTTTGTCCTGTGTCTTATGACTTTCATTTTCCCTACAGCAAAACAGTGTATTTAAACATGCATATAAAGTTTCTGCCCGTTGTCACAGGGTGATGCTGCCACAGTGACATTTGCTTTTCTTTCAGCCGGTTTTCCTTAATGAAGTCCTTGTGAAGCTGCCCACAGACCCTTCAAGTGATGAGCCAGTTTTTCACATATCACACATTGACAGAGTTTACACACTTAAAACTGACAACATTAACGAGCGGTGAGTAGTGAAAATTCAAATCTGAGCTTAAACTTGTTCATTGATTTAACTAACACTTCCATCCACTTTGTGTGGAAGGGGCAGAAGTAGCATCATGCCTGATGCTGAGTGGGATGTTGAGGAGCAGGAGCTTCTGATGCTGCAGGCTGTGTTCCCAGTGAGCAGACACAGGGACTCTGAGCTCGGGAACAGAGCTGTCTCTTGGTCAGGAAATAAACTCACTTGACTCTCATTTGAGAGAGAAGTTTCATTTGAATGAGAAGTTTTCTCTGATTTTGTTCTGCTTCTGCAGGAGCTCTTGCAGTGGCATCCAGCCACATCTGCTCCTTGATGTTTCAGTTGTATTGGAGAAAAGTTTAGGGCTGCAAAATCCAGCATGCCATAGGACTCCTCCCTGGTCCTGAGCAGTCTTTAATATGCCCCAGCAGTCTTTAATAAAACAGCAGCTCCACATCTAGTTAATTGAGGCTGATTTGGAATGTGGCAGAAGATTAAGTCAAAAAACTCTATCACCTTAGTCCACAAACTGACTTGATTTGTGATGCCTCTAAGATTTAGGGAGGAGAGAACTGAGAAAGGAAGGGGGGCAGAGTCACTGAAGATTTTGCTGTCTGTGAGATGACCCTGACTGTAGGGATTGCTCTCTGCAGGACTGCCTGGGTCCAGAAAATCAAAGCAGCGTCAGAACAATACATTGAAACGGAGAAGCGGAAACGTGAAAAGGCTTATCAAGGTACCCACCGAGTGCTGTATTTCCCTCTATCCTCCTGGATACTGGGGCAGAGCATTTCCTGGAAAATGCCAGGGTATTCTTCAGATCTATTGTCAGTTCTTACAGTTCCAACCAATCTGTTTATTTCTGACCTCTGTTCCCAGCCCGTTCACAGAAAACCTCAGGAATAGGACGCTTGATGGTGCACGTGATTGAAGCAACGGAACTGAAGGCCTGTAAGCCCAATGGTAAGCGAGGGAAGCAGTCTCAGAGCAGTTTTATTCCTGTAACATTTGGAAAAGCTTGCTGAAAGGAGTTGGTCATTTGGGAACCACTGTGGCACAGTTTCTATATGAAATAGTCATTCTTTAGTTTCAGAGGACCAAGTGAAGAACCAGCTCTGTGCTGCTCTGGGATATAGGATTGCTGATCCAATTCATCTGCAGCAGCATTGATGTGTGTCCAGGCAGGCTGCAGATGGAGGGGGAGGTTCTGCACTGCAGAGGGGTTTCACTCTGTGTTTTGTGTTTAGGGAAGAGCAACCCATACTGTGAGATCAGCATGGGCTCACAGAGCTACACTACCAGGACCCTGCAGGACACCCTGAACCCCAAGTGGAACTTCAACTGCCAGTTCTTCATCAAGGATCTCTATCAGGATGTCCTGTGTATCACCATGTTTGACAGGGATCAGTTCTCACCTGATGGTAAGTCTGAATATTTAGGCAAAGAATGCTTTTTTTTAAGCTGAGGTACCCAGTTCCTCAACAGCACTTTCAAGAGCCTGTAGGTCTGACTGCTGCCTGAGAAATATTGGGTAAAAACAATGCCTCAATACTCAGGAGGTTCAACAGCCTTCCAGAGCCAGTAACTCCAGGCAGTGAGATTTGATCCCAGTCTGGCTTCTGTATCAGATGCAGAATTATTTTCTTGTCAGACTGAGGAGACAGTCAAGTTGAAAGCAGAAGTTCTACTCATGATGGGTGCTCAAAAATAAGGTCTTGGGTGATATTTTCACAGCAACAGCTTGATCGGCTTTCTTGTTGCTTGGAAACTGAGCACGTTTTTGGCAGTCAGTTGCTTCTCATATTTTCTGAAATGTTAAGTGCTTTTTCAGGGTTCTGACACACAGTCAGTTATTGCAAATTTGCAGGGAACTCCCTTGACCTGAGATGCCTTGTGTGTAACCATAGCTCAGTCTTTTCTCCTGTGAGTTAATGTGAGTTTGGCTGGCTGCTTCTCCCAGCTGAACAGCTGAGTCTTGGTTTTAAGTCCCTGGTGAACCTTTTAATGCATACACACACAAAGATGTCATGTAAGAAATAGCGACACAGGACTGTAAACCTACTAGTAGCAGTAATTGTTGAAGGTTGTTCTAGTGAAAAGCATGATACATAGGCATAATTAAAAGTTGGCTGAGCCAAAATAGTTGTTTTTTTTACTGTTTTTGAGCACCTCAGCTCATTTTTAAACAAGTTCCATCACCTAACTCTGACTGGCCAGCTCTGAAACTGAAGAACAGTTGAAACTGTGTTTCTGAAAGGGTATTTTCTAAGAATACTTTTAAGGCCCTTAGCTCAAACTGTGACATCCTAATTTCATAGCATTGCTCTCTTCTAAAAAGGCCCCTTTTTGTCACTGCTGGCTGGTTTACACAGGGCTGGGGTCCAGTCCAACTGGAAGCCTGGGAGCAGTGCTCTGGAAATGAGCGTGTACCCCACAGCATTGCATTAACCTGCCTCACTCAGATTTTCTATGGTCAATATCTTTGGCTAATGAAATTTCTTATTCATTTCCCCTACAGATTTTTTGGGTCGCACTGAAGTTCCAGTAGCAAAAATCAGAACAGAACAAGAAAGCAAAGGCCCCACAACTAAACACTTACTGCTGCATGAAGTTCCAACAGGAGAAGTGTGGGTGCGCTTTGACCTGCAGCTCTTTGATCAGAAAACACTCCACTAAGAACGCTTTTTTTTAATTTATGAAGGACAACTGAAGCTAACAGCCTGAATATCTTTTGGTAAAAGATTCCTTGTCCCGTGCTGGTTATTAAGCAAGAATTCCTGCTGCTCCTGTATTTCCTCTAAGTTCCCGGTTGCGCTTAGTTCCTTGCAATGTTCCGAGTTGTTGTTGATCTATGCAAACACAAATGTTACTGTAAATACAGTACTATAGCTCAGTGCCTTTTTATTATGTTGGAATATCTTGGGTTTGGATGCCAATGTTTCCATTTTCAGGGCCATAAAAAGTGTTATTTAGAAATGTGGCACCAAGCTGTTTGTATATTTTACCACTTAGTCTGACAGACAGACTGAGGAATGGTTTAAGCTCAGCACTAGAATCATTCCATTTGAAATCTTACAAGTGATATCCACTGGAATTTTCCCATCTCAGGATGATTGTTTTAATGGTTAAATGCTGAAGAAGCCTTAGCACTGGAGAAGACTCCAATATATTGTACATTCTTTTAGGAATCAAGTGTAGTGCTTTACTTGACTTTAGTTCTGCACTGGAATCAGTAACTGCTACTTGATTTTTCTTTCTGCTTCAGTTTGATTTATCGTTCTCTGCTGAGACAATGTGGTTGTGAAGAATAAATAGAAAAAAATATTTTAAATACTGTGACCCACAACAATGTGGCAAAATACTCTTCAGCTCTTTGGGTTTTTTCCTAAGTATAAGTTATTTGTGTACATTTCCTTGGTCTTGCAGACCTCCATGTGAATCTTGAAGCTTTGACATTGCCAACATGTACATAGAGAGTAAAATATAAGTTTATTAATTTGTCTACAGATGTTTATTGATGCATAGGGATTTTAAAGAAGTATATTTTATTGTATAGGAGAATGTGAAAAATGAGAAAAACTTATAGGATTTGTTCAAGGAAAGTTTATCACAAGTTTAAAAGGTTTGCTCTGGGAAACTGTCACCCCAGTATAAACTGTAAAATGAACTGGTTGAAATGAAAGCAAAAACTTTCTCTTGGCACCAAATCAGGGATGGTTTTAAAAAAAAGAAAGTTTGTTTATAAATATTTGTTACATTGTAACCATTGTATTTCCTCCTTTAAACTGCTTTGTTGCAGAAGCACAGCATGCAGTTCCCAGCAGCCCTTGTTTTCCACGGGTGCAGAAATTCCTCCTGAAGTCTGGCAGTTTCCCCCCCAGTCACCCTCTGTGCACCCTCATATTACTGAGTCAACCTCTGTTACATTTAACAGTTTTCTGTGGTTCAGTATTTCTAATCCTGAATAAAACTCAACTCTTGGCAACTCTTGAGAGATCGTGTCTGTACAACAGGAGTTTGGAGGACAGAGAAAATTCTGTTTCCAGGCTTTGAGCCCAGAGCTGCTGAGCAGCAAGGAGATGGGACTGCACTGGCACAGGAGAGGGACGGGTTTGAGGGCACTGGCAGCAGCTGCTGCTCAGCACTAACTCTCCAGAAAGCACCAGATGTTCTGTACACCACTTCTCACCTCTTCTCCCCTACTTCTCTCCCCTGCCTTCTCAAAACACCTAAGATGTATGTTAAAAGTTTGATTTACTGCTTGGACACTGTCTCCAGGAGAGAATACCAGCACTGTCTTTATTGAGCTCAGCCCAAGTTAAACCTCCTAAAAAAGCAGGTTTTGGCTTGTAGAGCGTTGAACTGGAGCTGGCATGAAGAGGAGCAGCATCTCAGACATTTCTTTGGCTGATGGCTAACAACATTTCAGAACTACACGTTTGAGACAGTAAGTTTATTGCAGTTTGCCCAAAGGGCTGGCCTGTTCTCACTTGCTGTGGCAGTGCATGTAACCTATTTTGTAAAGGGTACCTTTGATGGCTGTGCTTGCTGCTGTGGTCAGCTGGAGCACAGGTGACAGACATCATTGGCTCTGTCATTGTTCTGGTTGATGACTTTCATCCTTTAAAGAGAAGAAAAAACTGTTGCCATGCTTCTGTAAAGATCAGCTGAGCTGTCAGATTATTTCCTTCTACACAGCACACACTAAAATTGCCTGGGAACTCTCCAACCCTCCTTAGACAGGACACCCCCCTCATGCCGCCACAATGGATTTGAAATGAGGAAAACAAACCTCCCACTGTCAGTTGCTATTGTGCCTCAAAAACTGAGCTTAGTATAGATCCAGACTGTGTCCCTGGTAACCACGTTCAAACACTCTTGGGCTTAAATGCAGCAGGAGTGAGTGAAACTAGAACATGCTCCTCTAGAGCAGCCCCGCAGCAGCACAGCAGTAACACGCTCTGTTAACTTCCTGATGATCAAAGTGGGACTCCAAACCTACTCACACCTTCCAGCAGTTTGTGCATGTCTTCTGGAAGAATGGATCGTACTCTGATGGGTCATAATCATCCAAAAACACATAGCCCTGTGGGAGAAGCAGATACTGAGTCAGGCCTCAGAAACTACTGGTGGTTGCAACAGTTAGAGCAGACAGCCTGGATGACACAGATCCAGGCACAGCATAACACAGAAACAGAGTTGAAATCTGTGAATTCTGTGAAAAAAGAATTCCCAATTTTCATACACTGCACCTCAGAAAGAAAGTGACTGAACTGTAACAGGAAAATTCCTCTATCCATTTTAATTTATCACAGGCATAAATACATTATGTATTTATGAAATCTTTTGTTATAAAAGATTTCATGAAGCATTCAGAAATAATGACAGGCTAAAATGCTAACCTTAACTAGGACAGTCAAGACAATGGATTTTTTTAAAATTGAATAATGTTTTTCCAGAAAAGGAAGCCCTGGGATTGGCTCCATTTGTCAGAGCATGGTGCTAATAACACCAAGGTCATGGATTTGATCCCAGAATGGGCCACTCACTTAGGAGTTGGACATGATGATCCTTCTGGGTCCCTTCCAACTCAAAATATTCTGTGATGTCAACAAGACAGATATTAAAAAGAAAAGAAAAAACAGAAATGAGTGACCCCTCAATAGCCACAACCTTAGGCAGGTCACTGGTCTGCAAGATACCAGCTCCACATCTGGGTTCATGAGCTGGCTTTTCCATCTATACATTGGAATAAAGACCTGAACCTCATGGTCTAGGCCACAGCTCCATCTCATCAACAATGCTGCCACAAGTGAAGGAGAAGGCTGATAGCAGGGAAGAAAGCAAAAGAAAATGGGCAAAAAGAAGGGAAAACGCATCCAGAATTAACCATATTAACTAATCCACACAAGTTCAGCAAAATTTATCATATGCTGCCACAGTTAATGCAAACTTATGCCAGTAAATTTGGCATAATAATTTGTCCTGTAAAATGTCTTTTCTCTAAATCTTGTCCTGACAAATAACTTGTCCTGTAAATATGAAGGGTCTCAGCCTGCTTTTCAGACATGCTGGTGACAGAGCTGACACCACAGAGCAAGGAGAAAAGGTAGAAGCTGATCACTGGTGCTGCTGCTCCCCTTCAGGCAGAAGGACACTCCCAGTACATCAGCCATTGCTTCTAGAGGCACCCAGCAAATTCCTGACCTGGCACAGCAGCTAGCAAGATGGACTGATACAGACCCAGATATGTACAGTACACCCAACATAGCCTAAATCCCAGGACTTCTGCAGTAGGACTGGCTCAGTTCTTTGTCATTCCATGCAGTTTAAATGCATGGGTCTGTCACAACAGGCCTTTGAAAAACATAGTTTGGTCTCTTTAAAACAACACAGCTCCCATGGTATTTTAGTTTCTGGGTAAGTAGGTTGTTTACAGTCTCACAACTCCACTGTGCAGTGATTTCCACTGACAACAACTGCCTGATCTCTATATAATAATAAAGTATTATTTTTGTGGCAGATTACATAACCGCTTTTATTTTTCTTTTTTTCATCCCTGAGATGCAGAAAGTTTAGTTGTGGTATCTGATATTCAAGAGTGGTGTCAAATTAAGAGCAAAATGAAGAAAACTAGTATTTTCTACAGTGACTGCAATTTGCACTTTTGCAATGTGTGTGAATACTGAAACACACAGAACTACAAAATTCATGAGCTGATTCTATTACCTGTATTACTTTAAAAAAAATTGTTTGTATCTCTCTGTTCCCATATATTTTCTTTTGCGAAGCTTGATCAGTAGCATCCAAGGCCACAAAATCATTTCACTCATGCTCTGCCAGCAGAGATGCAGTACTGCTGTAGCTGAACTCCTGAGACCTGAGAGCACAGCCCACACCCTGCTCACTCCGCCTTTGGTTTCAGCTGACAGAGCTCACGGTTTCCCCGCTAAATGGTCCAGCCCACAGAGGGAGACGCACTTCAGTAGGGTGTCTCTATATTCAGGCCCCAGCACGTGTTCACTGCACCAAGCAATGCTGCACTGCACCAATGTTCAGAGCTGCTGGTGAGCGTACACAGTTGTAACATCACCATTACAGAAGTCCTCGAGAAAAGTTACAGGCAAGGTATATCTGAACTCCAGGTTACTCAACAGACTGGAAATCACAGCTAAACCCCTGAACTTGTCCACAACCCCCTTCATGGTAGAAATGTGTTTTTCATTCATACCTTCTTTGTACAGTAGTTTAAATATTGAGAGTATTGTTCTTGTCTCCTTTTCCACACTTCTTTCTGTGACTGGCTGACCATTTGGTCCTTCATTTTCTGCATAAATGGCTCTGAAACATTCTCAAGATATTTTTTGTACAGAAGCTCTGTCTTTCTCAGATGTAGGAAATCATTGTGCTTCAAATATCTGTCCATCTCCTTAAGTAAGAAATGGAAAATAAAAGCCATATAAACTATTGGTCAATGACAGTAAAGATTCACATGTAAAGGTTTGCATCTTGGCTGACCTGACTGCTCACTGCTCCAAGGCATGTGTTGTCCAGCCCTTCCTTCTGCTCCTCCCTCTCTCCACTTCCCAACACTTATTTCCAAGCTTGCCCTTTCAAGAGGTTAGCATTCAGACACTTAAATTTTGAAGCTGTGGTGCAAAATTGGTAGAAAATGACTCACTTTTTCCCACCAGGTTATTGAGCTGAAATCACTGCAGAGCAGGGGGCTGCAAGCACCAGACTGTGCAAGACAGGCAGCAGAAGGACCTTCCCTGCAGCACTGGCAACCTGCTGGATCAGAGCAGACCAGCCCTCCTACCCTTTGCTCACAGCACCACTGTCACAAATTACCACACCCACAGAACAAATATTAGTGCAAACAGGCTGTTCAAGTCACCTGGGATTCACATTTAGGGTTACTACTTCAGGCCTATCCAGAGTGGACTGAAAAGATCAGAAGCTCATAAGTCTAAATTAGTTTTTCAAGAATACAGGCAATTAACATTTCCTCAGGAATCACTGTTTAGGAATTAAAAATACTGACAGGCAGGAAGGCACACAGCAAATGAGAAAAGAGCACACTTCTTACCCTCACAAAATTTTCTCTGTCCAAGATGCACTGAGCAGAAGCAATGATGTCTCGGCTTTGGTCAGGTGGTGCCTAACAACACATGAAAAAAGCCCACATGAGGTGAAAGCAGGACTTAGAGCAGGAGCTACATTTACTTTTTAATTCAAAACTATTACCAGTGTCAAGATTAGAGGCACATTATACCACAACCCAGCTGGCAAACCCTTGCAAGGTTTGCTCTGAACAGTTGGGTTAAGTAGCAACAAAAGAGCACTGGAAGAACTGGAAGGAGAACTGGAATGTACATGCTCAGAACTCTTTGGCTGATCCTCACCACGACCAAACACCACTTCCTCCTTGTCAGTGTTTCTCACCTGTGCCAGACATGTGCCTTTTAACTCCTGCACTCCAGACAAGGAGTACAGGCAACACACACCAAATCTATCATTTTGGGATGGAATGCATTTTATGCATAGGCTGGAATATTAGCCTGCCACTCCCTGTGCTTAATATTGATTTTTAATTCCAATTAACAGTGTAATTTTCAGTCATGTCTGCCTTGGCCCTACTGACCAGCTCCACACTCCTAAAGGTTTATTACACTGAAACGAGCAGGACATCAGAGCAAGCAAGGAAAACACAAGAAGTATTAAAAAATCCACCAAAACAAATGAGAAAGAGGAAATCTAAATTTCTGGCATGTTTCAAGACATGCCTACTATTTGAAATAACTGGTCTGTTGTACTATGCCTGATGAATTTACTTCACATAGTCACAGATCCTTTCTAATGTCAGTACTGTAACAGCAGCACAAAGACATGGCCATCATTCCAGCTAAGAACCATCACTGGTGAACAGGAGAAGAGTTTTCCTTCAGGATGATACATATGTGAAAAATCCTTAAAAACCAAAGGAGGTGGGTGTCCTTTGACTGAAGGAATGAAGTCCCATCTCCCTGGAAAAGGGCAGGGCCAGGGGCAGCCTCATCACAGTACTACTTACAGGGCAGCTACAAAAAGGCTCTCTCTTCACCAGAAGCCACAGCAAGATGACAAGGGATAAGAGATACAAGTTGCATTGGCAGAGGTTTCATCTCAATGTAAGAAATAATTTTTTACAGTGAGATCAATCATTCACTGAGCAACCTCCCCAAAGATGTGGTGGAGTCTCCATCACGGAAGGTTTTCAAGGTACAATTGGACAGGGAGCTGGATACCTCATCTGGTGTGTCTTTCTCATGAAAGGCTGGGCCAGATGATCTTCCAAGGTCCCTTCCAGCCTGGGCTGTTCCATAAGTCTGTGATTCTAACTAGTCACAAGCTTGTTTCAGGTTTTATGAGAAACTTTTCCACACACTAAACTGCAAGTAATTTAATAAAGCTGGATCAAAAGGATGCAAGAGCTCAATAAAACCCATTGAATCTGTTGCTATTTTTAGAATGCTTTGTTCTCCTTCTCCATGAAAAACATATTTTAGATTTTACTGAACTTTGAAAATAAGAATTTTTCATTCTTCCCTTCATAACCTCTATTTAATTCCTCCATTTGCACCTTCACAGAACAGAAGCCTTCTTTCTGTGTTAGCCAATATTTTCCTCCCCAAAATGTCTGCTGCAATCAATATTATTGGCTATGCCACTCTGTTGGTGCTGAGGAGAACCTCTGGGTAAATGTAAAGAAAGGAAAAGGTCTGCATTAAGGGACAAACTGCTTCAAAAAGATCAGGTTCTAATCCAGGTTCCACAACCAAGGCACAAATGGTATGGAATGGTAAGCAGTAATACAACTGCAACATCCATTTCTGAGTGTGCAGATGAGTTCAGGCACATGCCAGGGATGGAAGTCCGGGAGCACAGACAGCCCAGAAAACACTGTCAGGATTTCAGTGGGATTGGGTGGCCAGTTCCAACACAGGACCCAGTTACACACCTGGGCTCCCAGTTACAGATACTGCTCTGTGCTGTTCACAGTAGAACCCACAGGAATGCTGGGGGTCACTCACCCTCCAAGGCTGTTGCCGCTTGGGTTTTCTCACAGGTTTCCCATTTGCAAATCTTTGTAGCCAGGGACCTTCTGAGCCATTCACACTACCCATGGCTAGATTAGTCTGGGAAAAACATTAAAACCATCAAAACCCATAAAAAATATTGTATTAACAGCAAAATCTAAACTCTTTTATAATTCCTACTGATCAGTGAAACAGATCTCTAAAGGACTTCTAACTGCTGATACCTACAGCATTTTCCTGTCACAGTAAGTAAAATACAAAGATGAAGTATCAGGTTTACAGTCAGATACTGCCTCTGGTGGAACCATCTGACCTCATCTCCACACACCATGGATAGTGCATTTTGTTTCAAAGAACAGTGATTGACAAATTGTTTGAAAACGCTTATCAGCTTTGGAAACATTTCAGAGTTATCAAATTTTGCCTCCAGACTATTATTTCTTTCCTTTGTGCCTTTTTCAATCAGATAAAATCCCTTTCAAGTAACTGCCACATCCCACTATGGCTCCATTTTATTGGTTTTTAAATTTAGTTCTACCAGATGAAGCCTATGCTGAAGTGCTAACTCAGCTCCAGTCAGAAAATTCCATCTTGTCTCTTGTATGTGCATCAGGATATCTGAATTGATTTATAACAGAGACAGTGGAACCAGAGAGCAAAATGCCCTTTACAGGAACCTCCATTTAAACCCCTATTTATTTCAAATTCACTAGAGACACACTGCTTCCAGGAAACAATGGACTCACAACATTACTTAGGTAAAGAATGGAAAAAAATAAAAGCTTATTTCTGCAGAGATGCTGACCCCAAGTCTTCAGACAGATCTTTCAGTTATTTAAAATAAAATCTGATATTCAATTATTTTTTGCAATATCCAGTTATAAGAATCTGTGAAGACTCTTGAGTATTCATAAAAGATAACTTTTTTTGGTAGAAGACAACACTTAAGAGTTTATTCTGTCCAATCCAGCACTTCAGTGAGAATATCTGACTCCCAGCTTACCTCTCTGGAGTGCAGATTCAAATTTCTTACCATCAATTCAAGGTAAAGTCTGCAATTTACATCTTTGTTTCATTTTATATTCCCTGCTCTTGTACACTGACAAAAACATCTGCTGGGATATTCCTGCATCCTCACAGCAACGTTTTCCTGTCTTTTCTGACTGAAAGAGTCAGAAATCACAGGAAAGCATATGTTGGAAGGGACTTCAGGAAGTCACCTGGTCCTGTTGCCTTTTTCCCAACCTGGAATGAAACTCAAGATAATTTTAGTAAGGAGGCAATATAAAAGGGCATCTTTATTTGAAGGCCTTTAGAGGCAGTTATGGAAAGATGTTCACAAAAGCCCACCCCCTCCCAGGGTTGAGTAAATTGTTATAGGTTTTAGGAAATTAGCATAATTGATAAAAAGCACCAATTAGGAGGACAAGTGGCAATGCAATTCCCCCCCAGGTCAAGCCCCTTCTCTGGAGCCCCCGCTTCAGCTGTACTTGGTCCATGAGAATGCATCCCAAAGAGTTGTTCTCAGCCTTGGCTCCCAGGAAAAACCCAGACAGGATAGGGATCTTGTACCTCCTGGGGCTTGGAGCTCTGGAATTTTTTTTATCTTTCTGCTTAGGGAAAGGCCACGGAAAAGTACTGTGAAAATTAGTTACTAATACAATAGGTGGCATGGTTATAAAAATATGTGTGAAGAATACAGAGAACACAGAAAAGAAAGGTAAAACTCAAATGCCATCAGTCTCGGTGCCAGCTTGAAGAAAAGCAAATCTCACAGAACCAATTTTTGATACAAAATTAACAGGCAAACAACAAAAGATTTAGTAACCTGACATGCTATAGATTTGGCATTAGAAAAATCCAACACTTTCCTATGAGCAATATATCCTCCCTACATGCACAGGTGCCACAGGCTCCCATGTCATGCCACCATTTACAGATTTCCTCCAACTCCAAGCAGTAGATACACCTCACAAAGAGAGACTGAGCAAAAAGCAGAGGAGGTGCTTGACCTACTCAATGAATTGGGACCCCAGGGGAGATAAAACAGAGCAAAGAGAATGTTCCTCTGTAGCAATCTGCCTTTAGGAACCTACAAGTGGTAAAGACTCTAGCTGCAGATTTTCCCCCACCACCAATCTTCATAACTCAAGCTTCTACTGAATCTTAATCCTTTCTTTTTCTGCTTTTTTTGGACTCTTGCTGGGAGATGCCAACCCTCCTCTCTGCAAAGGCAAGGCTCACTGATATGAGACAGCAGCTGTTTTGCAGATCTTGAAACTACAGATTTAATCACAGGCTTAGTCAGAAATAAAGGATTTTCAGAATCTGAGAGGATAAAACAAGCATTTAGTCAATCTAGCAGTTGCAGTCTGCAGATGCCAAATCCCATGAGCAGGCTGGCTGTTCTGTATCAGGACATTTGTTTCACTGTGCCAGATCCCTGGAAGTGTCCAAGGCCAGGTTGGAGCATGGAGCAACCTGGTTTAGGAAAAGATGTCCCTGCCCATGGCAGGGAGTTGGAAGTAGATGACCTTTAAGGTCCTTTCCAATCCAAACCATTCTGTGATGACTAAACCTGAGATAACATAAAAATCCTTGTTAGATAAACATGGATCCTTCAGTGCTGTCGGTAGTGTAGCTCTGTATCAGTAAATTTTAAATACAGGTTTCTCTTCTTTCCTCAGTAGAACAAGGTTCTTCCCCAAACACCCATCTGCTAAAATTCACACCCGCTGTACCCAAACACGAGACTTTGCAGCAGCTTAGAGGAAACACATTTTAATTACTCTGTGACAAGTACAAGCACCCTCACATATGCCTCAGTCCTCTCAACATCCCGTTCAGCCGCGGAGGCTCGCGTGTCATTGCACGGATGTCACCCTGCGTGTATACACAAGCACTGAGGGCTGCCTCCACTCGTGCCTCGGTGCAGGGGCAGAGAACGGTCACAGAACCAGTCTCTAGTACGAGCAGGGCAGCTCTGCGAACAGAACCTTTTACTGCGAATGCTGAGCTAACAGGTAACGAGTGTATGCCCGGAGGGTTCTGGCCTGGCCCTGCACTTCAGAGGCAGCGACAGGATAAAGGGAAAGGTAGAGACCTGGCTTGCCCCTCACCCTGCCCGATCCTGAGGCGGGTCCCGCAGGCACCAGGAAAGAGGATGCGGCCAGCAAAGATCCAGACCTATCACCCCCGTGCCGGGGTCCCTCTCTGGGGCGGTGAACACAGCCCCACGAACCCCCAAAGGGTTACCACAGAAGCCAAACCCGCCCCGCACGGCCCCGCCCCGCTGAGGGGAAAATGGCGGCGCAGCGCGCCTTGGTCGCGCCTCACGTCAATCGCACCGCCCCTTCGTGATCGAAGCAAAATAGTCCCTCACCCATCACCCACAGCTTCTCGGGATGAGGAGACGCCTGCCTTGGGGACAGGGACCCGAATACCCGCGGGGAAAGGGCACAGAAACCTGTAAGGACAACGCTACGGCAGCCCTGATCTGGCTCCTAAGGCAGACAGGGCGAGGGCGCGGCAGGATCTTACGCTCCGCCGGATCCTTCCGCGTCGGCCGCGCAGCGTCCCACACCGCCATGGCAACCCCAACGCGCGCGCTCCCGCCGGCAAGGCTTCCCACCAATCAGAGAGGGGAGCGCGCGGTAAGTGAACCAATCAGGAGGGAGGACGGCGCCCCCGAGCCGAACGGGGCCGAGAGGAGCCGAGTGCAGTCGAGCCGAGCCGAACAGAGTCGAACGCAGCCGAACGGGGCCGAGCCGAGTCGAGCCGGAGCAGTCGGGCTCCCTGGTTTATTATCCAAAGTTCATTAAATCGTATTGCAAGATTTCACACGTGCCCCTGCGGTGCTGACCATGCCACCAAATTTGAAACTGCAACTAGCCAGAGATACCATCAGATAAGAGAAATGTGAGGGCTTTTTTCCCCAGCAGTGCTGCACTGACACACAGAAATCAAAGTAACTGTGTTCCACGTAGACGGGGTGTTTCCTCGAGCCCTTTATACTTTATTTTTTTAAATGTATTATTATGATTGATTTGTCAGAGCCCCAGGCAAGATGAGACCCTTGTGCCCAGCCCCCTGCCATTGCCCCGGAATGGGATCCCCCTGCCCAGCCCGCTGTGCCCAGGGTGCGTTCATTAACCTGGCCAGGGACTCGGGACAGAAGCGTGTCAGAGTCAAATCCCTTATGTCAGTCTGGAAAGAAAGACCCCCCCACCTCTGGATCCCCCACAGTCTTAGTCTCTATGTTATTAATTTCTAATTTAATATTTAATTTAATTTAATTTAAAAATAATTTTATCCACTGCCACTGTTTGCCAGCACCCTTGAAGTACCCAGGCTGAGCAATTCAAGGAATAACACACTTTATTAACAAATACACTGTTCACAGAAGACTGGGGCAGAGTCAGGGCAGAGATTGTCACTGACAGTGCATTGACAACCAGAAAAGGTTTGAAGGGATATACACTCTGATCACCAGTGAAAGTTTGAGCTAATCAGTGTGTACAGAGTAGGGATCCTACCCAACAGGTGTGCCCATGGAGGAAAGGCCAGGATCAGCCCATCAGCCAAAAGTTATGTGGAGCCTTTCCTAACTTTCCCCCTCTTAACTCACTGTTAGACTATTCCTTTCCACTTAGGTGGAGCTTGAGCGATTCCAGTGAAACATACTTTTTGTTCTCTGTTGGTGCAAAATTTCCTCACTTTGCTCTCAAAGATATAGTTAATAAAATAGAGAGTGTGTGCTCAGGAAGGGTTACCCACACTTTGGATGTGGGTAACTTTGGGATGGAGGTGTGTCATATCATTAGACTGAGAGTACAAAGAGTGGGGCTCATCTGAGCAGGGTGATTTCCCCACAGCTGCTGATTAAGGAACAGGACATCTCCTCCATCCTGTGCTTGGCAGCTGCTGTGTGGATTGTCAGCTATGAGGTACCACCGAGTTCCCATTCCTGCAGGGATCACAACAAAGCCTAGCCATGGGGTCTCCATCCTGCTCCACCTTTCATTTCATCCCTCCTTAGCATCTGCTTCAGGCTGCAGGAGGTGTTGCATGGGGAACTATCATGGAATGAATTCTATGCTTGCTAATCGCATTCCCTCCTGGAAATAGCAACTGCATTTTACCCTAAAATTTCCTATGTTACAGCTTCTGTTGGAATGTGACTATAACTTTAGCCTCAAGATTTCCCCCCAGATGTCTCTAACTTTCCCCCATTTTCCCACTTAATCAAGCCCATGACTGTAGTCACTCAAGCTTTCCAATATCCAAATGGAGTTCAAGAGTGTTTAATGCATTTGTATTTGTATGGATTATCTGATGTTTGTAGGGGTGGCCAACAGGCTAATTGCCTCATAATAATACAAACTTTTAACATATAATACTTTTATCAAGACAAAAAGCAAAAGTTCAATCCTAGAGTTTCCAGGTCCATCCACAAAGTAAATCAAATGCTAAAAGGTTTGTTTGGACAGCCTCCACAAGCATTTCAGCCTTAGTTAACCATATTTCCCCCAGAGACCAGATGGAGGCTTTTGCTCTGGAACATTCCTTTATTATTCCATCAATTGATGTAAATTTAGTTTTATGGCAACTGGGTATCATTTGAAAAAATATTTGCTGTTTTCTTTGTAATCACTAACACTTGAGCCCCTGCAGAAATTAAATATTTAACCATAACTTTTTGAGGACCAACTTTGAGGAACATTATTTGAAGGTCTGAGGCGCCTACTTGTGAGCCACTTACTGCTAATTCCCACTGGGCAGGGTGGCTCATTGCCCTCCCCAGAAATGTGGGGGGTTTGCCATGGATTCTGTCAAATTAAATCCTATCTTGATGAGGAAGGCACATGCTCTTTCTGATGCAAAATTTTTTCCTGAGTTTGTTTTTCCTCATTCCTGCTATTTTTCCTCACTGCAGTTAAAGACTGAACCAACTTATGGATGTCAGCCCTGGAGCCACCAAGTAGCCAGCACTTAGGTACTCCCAGCTCTCAGGCCTGGCACCAGAGGTCACACCGTTCTTTATGGAATTTAGGCCTCTCATTAGACCTTTCATTAAATTTGGACCTTTCATTAGACCTTTCATTAAATCTGAACCATGGACTATTAAGCTGGTGGGCTCATCATGCACAGTCCGTGTAACTCACCAGTCCTTGCACAAACTCCTACGGGGCTTTGCTGGCCAGAGTTTTAAGGTGGTCAACCATGGTTTTAAGGTGGCCCACCTCGGTTATAAGATGGTTATTCTGAATCACAAGTTGATCAACTTGGATTCCCAGTTTTTCTCCTGTCTCCCCCTCAAAGGCTAAGGATTACTTTAATACCTCATTTTCTGATTTCAACACAGTATATTCTAGATCCAAAATTGGTTTGGAAACAAGAGTGTTCTTAGATTCTTTCAGTGCATGAGAAAAGCATGCTCCTAAAACTGCACAAACGACATCTTTACCTATTACCACTTTAGATTTCTCTCATCCTTATACTGTTCAATGTGTTCCATGACTTTCTCTTCATCTCTCCAAAACTTTTGTGCCTGCTCCTTCCCAGCCTGGGAAGGGGCACATTTGTGTTTTCACAGCAGCCTATCTATGCCAATCCTACTGACTGCCAATTTTCTGTCAGGTAAAGGCGGAGGGAGGGTTTCCTTGAGCCTTTTGTATTTGATGAGTCTGTCAGCACCCCAGGAAAAATGAAAGCCTTGTGCCTGACCAACCTGCCACGGCCCCAGAATAGGGACCCTGCTGCACAGACCAGTGTATGGAGGGTGGGTCAATTAACCTTCAGAGTCAAAGACCCTATTTCAATTTAGAAAGAGAGGCCCCTCCTGGATTCCCCCTGCTCCTAGTCAGTGTGTTATCAGATTTGTCAAGTATGCTACCTGTGCCAGAGCCCTCAAAGGACTCACAGTAACAGTTTATGGAATAAGACAGTCTATAAATATAACAGAAAATTGTGACAGGTTGAGATTTGAGGATTGACAGTGATAGTACCTGACTGCAAAAACATATTCAAAGCAACACACAGATAATCCCTACCAAAAGCTGTCTCGAGATAATCAACCAGTATGTGGAGAATACGGTTCTTACCCAACAGATGTGCCTGTGGGGAAGAAGACAGGTTAAATTCCATGACTGACCCCAAAAGTTACAATGGAGACTTCCCCAACTTCTCCCCATTCTTTACCTTTAGGTGGAGCTTGAGTGAGTCCAGTCATACAGCAAGGGGTGGTTGTACCTTGGAGGGGAGTAACACTGGGATGGAAATATGTTACAGCATTTCATCTCAGCTAACCTTGGGATGGAGGTGTGATCAGTGTTATACCTGAGGAGAGTAATTAAATAGCAGCAAGGTGTCTTCTTCTATCTCCCTTAGTTTGTTGCAAATTATGCAACTTTTTTTTTTTTAATGTAACTTCAGTCAGGGGTTTGTTTTGTTCACCTTTGCCCAAAGGGGAATCAGAAGTTTCTGTTCAAAAGACTCTGTTCACCAAGTAAATCCTGATGACCTTAAAATTGACAGATTGGGAGTAGCCAGAAGATACAGAGGAGATAAATAAGCATTCATGAACAACACCTCCTAGGGAGGTTGGAGACACCTGGTCTGGGAAAAGATTGATAAGAGAACCAAAGAATGATGTCCTAATTAATATCAAAGGTGAAGGAATCCATAACCAATACAATATCAAACACTAAGAATTGTGTAATTTAAGACCAATAACATTAATTTATTTGGGGTTTGTATGTATAAATATGTGAAAAATCTAGTAAAGAACCATGTGTGATGGAATGATTTTCACTGTACAAACCACCCATGTGTGAATGAAATATTTTCTACCACACTTCCTGGCCAAAATAACATCCTGGACAGAAAAAAGTAATGCCTCAATTCTCCAACACTGAAAAGATGTTGGAGAGTTTTCTGTTTCCTCCATAGTTTCAGTGATAACGTGACTATAGCCTCGAGATACTTCTCAGTTTTCTTTAATTTCCCCCCAGTCATTTTCCCACACTGTGCTAGAACTGATTATTTATTTTAAAATAAAATAATTTTTGGTTTGGGTCAAGCCTAGCCCAGAAAAAAACCCTCACTCCCTCCTTCTGTTCTGATCTAATGGTTGTATCAAGTTTTATCTCATTTCTTAGTGTTTTCACTGTGGACTATTTCCTCAGCAAGATGAAAATCAGAAATACTTACACTATAAAAATGTAACTGGACATTTATGGCCTTTCTGGGAAAAAGGACCATTTTCCTGCTGGTCAATTCTCATGCCTTTGTTGTTGTTGCTGCTGTTATTTTGCTTATCTGAGGCCGTACATTTTTTCTGCTGAAACTCCTGAATTTCACATGGAGGAAAGTATGTTTTCCAATATGAAGGGGAGGGGGTATGAACATTTATACATCTGTCTTTTTACAGAACAGAATGAAAATGAACCAACTTCAGGCTTTGCTGAGTGACAGCCTTGCCAGCACAAAAAGCATGTGGAAAATGCAGTTATCATTGGTATAAAGACAAGTCTCTGCATCAACCTTTGGCTTTAATGTGAGAGATCAAGAGCTTCCTGGGAAGTGACAGCAGAGGTGGAAACTCTGTGAAATCAGAGCACAA